CTTGAAATGCTCCCAAAAATGGCTCCACAGCATGTAAACATATAATATAAGCTCTGGCGGACTTGGTTCTATGGTAGGTCTTAAAGGGTTAATGGAGACAGTAGTAAAACTTGTTGGGTTGTCGTCCTGAGGCAACTGTTGTTGTGATTCGGTGCTATATGAGTAAATTGAATTGTTCTGTGCCACCAGATACTCTGAAACTACAGTTTGCAGAGTCAGGAGTCCCAGAAGCTTTATCCGAGATGATTCGGAGTCTGCAGGGAGGCTCTGACCCACATGACCTCTGCAGCATCAAGATTGCCTCCAACCTAATGGTGTCCCTGCTTTTAGGGGGTACGTAATGCAACAACATTGTCTTAGTGTAGATTTGAAAGGAAAAAGTGGTCAGATGACAAACAGAGGAAGACAAAGTGCTGGGATCCACTCACCAAGACGCTCGCCTAATGCAGAGCTCCTGAGCAAAACCTCTGTTCCCCCTGGCTTTGCCTCTCATTGGGCATCTACTGTCTGTAAGGAGTTTTCCTTAGTGTTGAGAGGTTTCTTTTTATTTCAGTGACACCTAAGAAATCAAAAAGTGGCTAAACAAGGCATAAGCTAAGCAAGCATGGTGACAGAGACCACGCTGAAACCTCAAACAGCCTCGAGTATTGCATCGAATGCTTTTGTTGAACTTTGAAAAAAGCAAAGCAAGAGACGTCCCAACTCAGGAGTGCGCTTAAACAACTGTGCAGTGAAAACATCACAAGTTAAGTTAACACAGATATTGCCAACAGAAATGAGAGACTGGAAGAGGCAGATCGCCACATTATGAACAGCTGGCTGGAAGCTAAAGACGGCAAAGAGGCGTAAGCAGCTAGAAAGAGCAGCAGTGTCTTAATCTGTGATTATCAGAGTGAAGTAACGTGTAGAAGGTGCAAAACAGACTATATCAAACATCTGATAGCAGAGGTGGTAAGCGTGTACATACAGGTCCAAAAGTATTTGGACAGAGGCAACCCCTTTCTTAATTTTGTTCTGCACATAACAACAAAAAAACAAAAAAATACCGCAAAAGCACAAAATCACAGCTAAAACACAGGAAAAAAAAAAGCATTTTAAAACAAAACCCCTATATTGGGGCGCAAAAAAAAGGAAAAAAAAAAAAAAAGAAAAGAAAAGAATCATTTCTAATACTTGATTAAAACCCGTTTGCTGGCAGTGACAGCCTGAAGTCTTGAACTCATGGACATCACCGGGTTTCCTCCTTTTGAATGCGCTGCCAGGACTTTACTGCAGCGACTTTCCGTTGCTGTTTCTTTGTGGAAGCTTCACCATGGAAATGATTCTGCGATCGTCCACCACTGTTGTCTTCTTTGGACGTGCAGGTGTTTTTTGCGTCGTTGTGCTCACCTGTGATTTCTTTCTACCAAACTGTAGCTTTTTCATTCATGTAGGTTTCATTTCCTTTATTTGACACTTTTCTTTCGTTTGGCACCGACGTCTTTGCAGCTGACTCCACGCTGCTGTCTCAGGTCACTAAAAAGGGAAAGAGACCTCACTAGAACCACATCTCCACCTGCTCCATCACCCTCCCTGCCACTGCCCCTTGAGCCTCCCCTGCCTCTGAGCCAAAGACCACACCACTGCCACACTATCATTGGAATATTCCAGACATTCCTGGAATGTGAACGAGTGATGATGCAGTGAAGGAGAAACATCAAACAGAGATGCAGGGCCATGGAGAAAGAATGTAATTTTTGTGAGATTATTAAAGCACATAGAAAGTTGCAGACAAAGAATATTTGGCTCACACTGACCTTCCCTGCCATGCTGTGAGGATCATGGCTCCATTCTTGTAGTTAGAAGATGAGGCTTGATGACCACACTGGATTTCATCAACAGAGAGTTTATTTCACAGTGAGCTCGTTCATGTTATGTGAGGTTTTTGGGGATTTTCTTCCTTTTTTCTTCTCTTAACCTTGGTCAGATGGACTTGTTTTATTTGTATTGTTATTATTGAAGCTGCTGTTATTGTTAGTAGCAGTAGTATCTTTTCTATGTTCCTTGGTAAGGATCATATTTGTGTGTTGTTTGTTGGTGGGTTTGACAGGCTGTTTACTCAAGGGGAGGTGAGTATTTTGGTATTTTGTGGTTACTTATGAAAATGTTTGTTCCTGGGCAAAAGTCAGAGTTCTGTTAAACAGTGGAAGCACAC